TTTGGAGCACTTCAGTGCCTGGCTTTTATTGGAGTGCTTCAATGTGTGGCCCTGTAGGAGCCCTTCAGTGCCCTGCTGTCTCGAGCGCTTTGATGCATATCTTTTTTGGAGCTCACCACCTCCTGGCTTTTTTGGAGTGCTTCAGCATTTGGCTTTTTTGGAGTACTACACACCCAGATTTTATTGCTGTGCTTCAACGCGCTTCCTGTGATGTGTGCTTTCCGTGTATTACCTTCCACATATTTTTTTTCTGGAGCCAGCAGATGAGCAGGTGGTTGAGTTTATGTGGAGTTTTTATGTTCCTCAATAGTATTTTTGAGCTCGGAGATGTCTTTTTCAGGGGACTGTTACCATCTTTGTGCCTTTTCTTCTGTCAGTTTTACCCAGTCCTGGATATGAGGGAGGTGACTGTGCTATGAGCACTTTGTGCTTGGTGTTGGTTCTTCTTATTCATGATTCTTTTGGTGGTCTTATATCTGTTTTTTTCCCTCATTCTCTTGTTCTGGATGGTATTAGGAAGGTCACTTTGGAAGCTGCAGTGATCCCTGTCGCATTGGTGGTTTTGGGGCTTTTCCTGCCAACATGTGTTAGGGTGGAGTCTGAAGAACAGGATCCTAACAGAGTGTAAGAGAACAGAATCTCTGGTGAGTCCGAGAGAGTAGTGTCTGTCTTGTCTCAGTTCTGCTTTCTTATGCTCAGTGGTGTGGGCTTTTTTCAGCACAGATGATATCAAGTGGAAGATGGTAGACCAAGCACCCAGCGAGCATCACAGCCCTGCCAAACCAGGGAGTCAGGGAAAATGCAGACACCAGAAGTGTGGGGTAGGCGCCTAGGTGCCTGAGTGCCGAAAGCTGAAGCATCTGTTGCTACTTGTTGGAGGCATGGGAATCCTTGGAATATCTGCATGGCTCTCTCAACAAGGCGGGTGAGCTGGCACAGTTTTCAGGGCTGTGCAAGTAGGTGCGTGATGCTGTGCTGCAGAGGCAGCAGCTGGAGGGTGCTGTTGCCACAGGAAAGGTTGCCAGGCTGAAAGAAGAAGGAGCACAGTTAAGTCTGAGCTCCTGAGTGAGTCAGTCAGTCCTCAGGGAAATTTCATGTCCTGGCTATTGTGACCCATCCTTGCCTGGAGTCTTGCAGGTCATCCCCCTTTGGTAGAGGGACAATGGTTAGAGTTTCTTTTCCTGATTAAAATACATTATTTTCTCAGTGCCCGTTGCTGAGAATAACTGCTTTTTCTTCTCTTGATCCTTTCTTAGCTGTTTGGTGTCACCATTAGTTTCCAGTTACACCTGGTTTTTTTGTTTTTCAGAGAGCCAGTGTGAAGGAGCAGGGACTGGGTTTTACCTTCAGTTACCCCTGGAGGAGCTGCTGCAGAAGGAAGTGAGCCTGTGGCTGTGCCACAGGAGGACAACTGAGCAGGAATCCAGCGTGCTAGCACCACATTTTTGCTTTTTGCAATAAATGTTGGAGCAAGCCACAACTGAGACATGGTGGCATCTGGTTTATTCACTGCATGGTTACCTAAACCCTGCTAACACCTCTCAGGAGGATGCCTCACCCCCACCCACTCCTCATCCTTGACACATCCCACAGTTCCTGCATGGTGAAGTCCTTATTGCTGCTGTGCCACTGGAGCTAATAGTGGGCTGTTGGCGGCCATGGAGGTCTTGCTGCAGCTGTTACTGCCTTCCAGTGGGTGAGAGCTTGTGCTGAAAAGGGCTGCTTCACCACTGCGACAATTGCTGTCTTCCTCCGAGCTTCTGCTTTTCTTTCTCTGTTTAAGCATGGCTCTTGCAAGCAGAACTCCAGGTAGGTGCAGTCTATATTCAATTCCCTCACTAAATGTTGCCATTCAATGTAAGTGAGAAAGTGTTTCTGCAGGGAGGGGCCGGGCAGGAGACAGCAGGGTAGCCCCCACCTGACAGGGAGCTGAGGGAGCACCCATCTCTGGAGCACCTGTTGGCACTCGTGCTCCCTAGCCTGAGTTGTGCGGGTACAAAAAAGCCTTTCAGTTCTTTTCTTCCTGCACAACTCAAGCTATAGGCAATGTGGGGTCTGGCCCCCTCCCTTGGCTGCTCTGGTTGGTCTGTGGCCTGTCTGCTCTCCCCTGCCAGAAGGAGCCACTCAGGTCAGGGCCTGTCCCTGTTGCACACTTCTGCATTTAGGAAGTTTTTAAGTGACTTTAAGAGTCTTTTAAATTGTCCATTTAAGTACAGTCATGGGTGGCAGGCAGGCCGGCCCTGACTGATGGAGGGTGCCATATGAGATGAGTTCTGTGGGGACAAAAAAGCTCCATGGAGTTTCTGTCCCTATGCAAGGACTTTGGGCTCACTGCCCTGGGCCCCTGGTTGCTGGAGCTCAGTTTAGGAGCATATATTGGTCCCTGAAAGTGAAGCCTGTGACCGGTTTTGGGGTATTGGAGTTGGTGCAGACACAGGCTAAGGGCGATGTGACTGCCTGGCTGCTCTGATAAGGGAACAGGGGACCACCACAGTTCCTCACTGGGAATCCTCCACTTTCTGGGGATGCTGCTCACAACAAATGCAGTTGAAGGTAAAGCACAGCTTTTTCTCCCGCCCTATCCAGTGGTTTAGGCTGGAACACTGCTTTGCTGCTGGAAAGATCTCAAAATGTCAAAATACAGCAATGTTGTGGACCCCACACCCCAAATCTGCAGTAGGGGCTGTGGCAGCTGCTGCTTTACTACCCCTCACAGGGACAAGGATGTGATGATGGCTGAGAACACTGGGCAGGCCAGACCTGAAGAGCTGTCTTGCAGCTCTCAAAGTGATTTCCAGAATTTTAAAGCAATTCTTTCCCCCAATTTTTGCTTGGTACCATATTGCTTGGTGGGGGTTGGACTTTTTAAATACTTAGCCTGAGGTGGATTTCCAAGTGTGGTAAATTGTCAGTTATTTGGCTTTGTTGCACCTAGAAAAGCCTAGGAAAAATAGGTGGAAGGAGTGTCAGGACACTCTAATAAGAGGTAGTATTGCCAGTTAATCCCCAGTAACGAGTATGGGTTTCAGAAGGTAAACATGGGTGCATAGTTTCAGAAGAAACTTTCTGGTCCTTTAAGTTTCTTTGACATGTTGGGAAACAAGTGGATTTGGTACTTATCCATTTTCAAAAATGTCATTTTGAAGAATGATTTCAGTAATTGTTTTGCTTAACAGAGCAAATTATAAGATCCTCTCCAACATGTATTTTTAAGAGCAGCTAATGACAAGAGGATTTGAGCACTTTAATGGATTTGAATATCCTTTTGCCATTAAATTTAATTGGTCAGCCTGGTAGTTTTTCTTTAGCAGAAATGGGATAATTCACATTAGTCACTTGGGTAGGAAAATTATGGCTAAGGGAAAAATATAAAAATTAATTCACAATGCTGATATTGACTCCATGTTTATTGTTTTATTAGCAGGATTTTCTGCTCACTTTAAATTCACAAATAGACAAATTATTTACAAAAGCCATTTACTCCAAAAGTAGGTGGTACCACATACTTTAAAACAGGAAGCATTTGCCATCACAATATAAAAGACTTGATTTCAATACACAAAGTCCATGATATCTTATGCGTAGTTTAAATGAGTACGTATTACTGCTACTGTCACCTGCTTTATTACGATTATCAGTTAAGAAACACCTGTCCTGGAGTTGCACAAAATCAGAGCGGGATTGCCTCCCTCCACTGGGGGAGGCAATGCAGAATTCATCTTGAGTTGTTGCCTCACGTTCGACCAGACGATGAACTACTCAACTCAACCAGTGACTGGCTTGCTGAAGCCTAGAGTCTGTCTCCACTGCTTGCAGAAGGACGGATTGTCTCAAGATCTCTATGCTATTTTGGCCCTACTTTATTTTGAAGGTGTACACAGACTTTATAAGGTATCTAGGCCTGGTTCAGCACAGTTGATTTTTTCCCCACTAACATGCTATACTTTTATATGGATCCCACTGAAAAACAAGTCGAAACACATGATATTCCATCTGAACATAAGAAAACACTTTTTTACTGTGTGGGCTTTTGCACACTGGCACAGGTGGTCCAGGGAGGCTGTGGAGTCTCCATCCCTGGAGTCAGTCAAAGCCCAACAGGACACAATCCTGGGGAACCTGTTCTAGCTGACCCTGCTTGAGCAGAGGAGTGGACTAGACAATCTGGAGATGTTTCCCACCACTATGATTTTGTGACTGATTCTGTGAAGAGCTCAGCGACTCAAGGCAGAAGAAGCTGGCTATAGAATGCCTGGAGGTGAGAGAAGGAAACAGGTCCCTTCAATATTTAACTGTGCCATTTCCAAATACATAATAAACAGAGTAACACTCTACATAAAACTACAGAGTGAAATGTAGATAAAATGTTCTTAAACAAGGTGTCATAGGAAGAGACTTGAGGTTTTCGCTATACTGTGAAGCAGTATTTAGCTTTGTAGAGAATGTGCCTTTCATAGGAGCATGCTGCACATTGGACAATAGAAAGCTGGTGGTCTGTAGACTTCAAGGAGCTTCATCATGAGGGATAAACAGGATAAAGAATGACATGAAGCAAAATGGGCTTTTTTGCCATCCTTCTACTTGTGAGCAGAAGGAAGAGGACACCAAACAGCTTAAAAGTATGAATGATAAGCTCAAAGGAGTTAAAAGATTTCTTTTAAGAAGAAACAGAGGCATCATTGCTAGGATCAGCAATCAACTCTTCTATCATTGTAATATGCTTTAATGCATTCATAGACTTTTTTGTTCACCTGAAATTTTAAACTCTAAAATGAGAGTCTACATCCCGAATTTACAGGTGGGTGAACTGAAGTACAGCATCAGTCAGAGTTAGGGGATTATAAAGCAGTCCAGTGAAAAGAGTTCTGGTGGAAGCAGGCTGCTTTTCGAGGGCTCTCAGCAATAGTGGGTATTCCCACAGACAAGGGAGAAGCTTCTGAGGAGGCATTATTTCCTCTGTACCCCCTCTCCAAAATATGGGAGATTAGAACGCAGAAAATTTATTTCAGTTTTATGCAGTCTACCTCCTCTGTGACCGGCATTGCACTTGTTCTCAGGTCTATATCTGTGCTAGATTTGCTTCCATTATATGTTGATCTCCATCTGAGCAACATGATCTTCTTGAAATACTTCATGGTGTTATTTTTTACAGTTACAAAACACATGGTGTTTATCATGCTGTTACTCATAGCAATGCATTCAACTATGTAAAAAGCAGTAAGATAATGCTTCTCTTTCACAAAGATCGTGGGGAAAAAGTCACGGACAATTGTGAAGCCATAGAAAGGTGCCCAGCAGAGAACATAGGCAGTCAGGATGCACATCAGTACCATAACAGTTTTTCTTCTGCATCGAAGCCTCTTTCTGATCTGTTCCGTCTGAAATCCTGGTACGGTTTTAAACCAAAGCTCCCGAGAGATCCTGGCATAACACAAGGTCATTGTAATCACAGGTGCGACAAATTCAATGCCAAAGATGAAGAGGAAGTATGATTTGTAGTACATCTGTTGGTCAACTGGCCAGATTTGACCACAGAAAATTTTCTCCTGGTTTTTCACTATAAATAACACCGTTTCAGTAGCAAAGTATGCAGATGGGATAGCTACAAGTATGGAGACGATCCAGACCAAAGCAATTAGGAAGGTTGCTGTTTGATAATTCATGCGTGGTTTCAGTGGGTGAACAATGGCCAGATACCTAGAACAGACAAATACATTCAAAATGAAGTCTGAAACCACTATTAGTCAGAACACACTTCAAAATACAAGTGGACAGAATTAGGCAGAAGGAAATTGCTGTCATTCGTAAGGAGAGAGCCTGACAAATTTTTCTGTGAGGAGACTTCAGAAAATTTTCCAAAGTAGCGGCCTAGAGCTGAGTTCCTAAATCTAGGCAGAAACTGCAGAGCGAGTGGCTGAAGGGTTTGTTAGGACAGAGGGTACCTGACAATCTGAAAATCTGAGCATATGGTAGGGTGTCTGAGGATGGTTTTCAGACCTCAGTCTTATAGTCCCAACCTGTTAACAAGATCAAACTGAAAAAGCTGCAATTTTTTATCACAAACTTCCTTTTTAACATGGATCACATATCTGGCAGTTATAGAAAGATGGGAAAAAGGGACAGAGAAGGAATATTCCTATTACTGACAAATATGTTTGCAAGACCTAGCACAATACGCAGGTGATGTATCCAGGATGTGCCATGATATAGCATCTGGAAATTCTTTGCTGGATGGCACATGTTCAAGCAAGAATTTGACACATGCAGTAATATACACCTACTCAGGTGGTGCACATAAAAACACAAGCATGTAGAAGCAGGAAAATGTTTTCCCTAGGCAGAGAACTGTTTAAATACCCTTTTTTTACCAAGAGGTCAAACATACCCAAGAGTATTTCTATTATTTTCTTGTTATTCCATTGAGTGCAAAGAGCTGAAGCTGATGCTAGTGAATGCTTACAGATGAGCGTGGTTTCAAGCTACCGACAAAGGACTGTGTATGTATTTTCTGCCAATGCAAATTTTTGTTTTGTCTGATGGAGGGGACTATTGCTAATTAATTTAAATATGCTGTGTTAAGTAATATGCAAAACCATAAAACTTGAGTTAGGTATTTGCACTCCTTATGACTGTAAAGCTACAAGGTGCACTGTAGTGTTTCACAAAGAAGTGTGGAGAAATGGAAGTAACATTACTTGCAAGATCCATCAGTTGCCCTCAATTCAGTTAAAAAAAAGGCCAGGACCAAATGGCATTCACTCTGGGATTTTTTGTTTGGTTGAAGTTGGGTGTGTGTGTGATTTTTTAAGAACCTATAGGTGTAAGAAGGGCTTATATTAGAGTACACTGTCACAGAAAGATTAGGATATTTCTGCTAAAAGGAGATTTTTATCAGAGGCGCTCCAGAACTCCCATTACAATTGTATTTAACACAAAGGATTGTTTCAAACAGTGGAATTCCTCATTCATTCAGAGGCTTTTCTATCTGTATATTTTCAATACATAGACAGCATCTACAGGATATATTAATTCTAAAATAAAATGGAAAGTCAGTGGTGCTTTTCATCAGCTAGATCTTGGAAGCAGATGAATTGTTCATTGCTCTTAATAGTGCAGGCTAGACATCAAGGGATAGCAGAATTACTCAGCCTCATTGTGGAGCTGATAAATGGGTATTTTTAGATTGGATCCTGTGGAAACAAGATTGTGGGATAACGTATGGGTATGCATTCATAAGTATGCATATCCCCTCAGAAGAACATTTGGGTGGATGAGGTAAATCTCTACAAGGGAGTCAGGAGGGAGCTTGGGGGGCAGGGGCGGGGCGCATTCCTGATTATCATTGCTTACCACACTTGGGCTGTTACTGCGGTGTGGTCCTGGAGCACGTAACCTGAGTTCAGATGAAACTGCCCTGGAAGATGTGCTCCAAAAGTGTACATAAAACAGACCAGGTGCCCATGGGTGTTCAGTCCAGGGGACCCAGCTAAAGCTAAACCCCCCAAAATACTTACAGCGTGGACACTGGACACTTAGCACGAAGTCTTGCTCTTCAAATCCTCTCCTTTCACATAGCATTATTTTCTAGTGCAGATGTGGCCTTAAATATGTGAAATTCCTACGTTTCATGAGAATAGACATCACAGAAGATGAAAGAGAGCTGGGACAGGCTTACCCTCTCTACACAGGTAAGTCCTTTTAAATGATTTAAATGTTAGGAGATATTAGGAGCCCGTTATTTTTAGAGACCGAAGTCAACGACCCACATGACGTAACCAACATGGAATGCTTGATTGTTAAATGAACGAGGTTTCTCTCTGTTTACCAAGCCAAAATCTCACAAAAGAAGGCAGTGAAACCAAAACAGTGTGTTCTTACAACAAACTTCAGTGATTCATCGTTTCTAGGATTGTTTTTTAAAGATGCCTGGGGAGATATGCTAGAAATCTGATTTCTTAGCAGGCATAAGGGCTCAATGACCCATCTTACTTCATCAGCCTGGGATGCACTAGCAGAGCTTTCAAAGAATTTTTTTTAGAAGTTGAAAAAGATAAATAATAGAAAATGGTAATGCATACATGATAGTGTTTAGAAGCTTAAGCCTGAGTCCTCAGCTCTGGTTCAAAGGTTATTTTGTTAGACACTTATTAAGGATTTGTTTCATAGGAGCGGACTGTGCTTTCCCCCAAACCAGGCAAAACATCTCTGAACTTCCCCAGAGTCTTTCGACAGACTTGTGTTGACGTCAGTAACAGCTAAATCAGCCACGCACAAGCTGTATCTAAACAATCATCAGCAGGGTTAACTGCTCCCAAGCTGTCTTTCAGATCAGGTACCAAAAACTATGCAACATTAGACCAGATCATAAAATGGCACATGGGAGAAATTGGAGAAAAAAAAGGGAAGGGGGGGTGGGAATCATACAATGTGTATATGCAGAGGGTATACAGAGATGTATATTGTGTTTGTACACAGATGACTTGTTGTGATGGCCTTTCTGTAAAGAGTTTACTCTGTGGGTCTGTGAGTCAGTCGTATCAGACTTATGTCAGCATGAAGCTGATCCTCAGCATCTGGGTCCATCAGAGTCCGTGGTGCACGAGGCTAAGAGAACAGGAGTCATAAGAAAGAATACAATTAAATTGTTAAAATTCCTGGAGTGAGAGGCAGGCATAGAAATATCTCAGGACTGCAGCATGAAGCAGGTAGATGTAGAACATCATTATGTTCTGCTTACCCCATTATGAAGGCTGCAGGAAAATCTCTGCTAAACCTGGTTGGTATAGCATTTTATCATTTCTGGACACTGCTATAAATATGGGTGCCATAAATGACCTGTGGGTCTTTCCTGGCTTTCCACTGTTCCATCCTCAGAGAGGCATGTGAAGAGAGAGGAGAGTATGAGAGGAGAGTATTTTAATGGAGAGAAGAGTGCTGGCCACACTCACCAAGCATCCATTTCTGGGTTGGAGCATCCAGCTAAGATCTCAGTACTATCAAATGTTTAATTTAATGATTGTGGGGTTTTCTCAGGAGGGTGTGACGGAGAATAAAATCTCTATTTTGTAGGCTAGACGGAAGTCTTATCTTTCACTCTCTTTCACACCAAAACAAAATCTGGGAAAAATACCTTAAAGGGAGAAAGAAATATCCTTTAAGGCAATAACTCTGTTGGAAACTCACCTGTAAAATTCTGTATCACCAGTCAACTATTTCTCTCGCTGAAGAGTATTTACTTCACTGTTTATAAAAAAGGTTAGACTCAGAAAAGCTGTGTAGGCCAGTAGAGAAGGTTCCTTAGAGGTGTATGGTTTGGATCAGGATTATATAGTGCTGATGAACACCTTTATCTCTGGGTGCTTCTGATTTATCTCTCTCTTTCTCCTCTTTCCCTTATTTCATAAATCCTCTTCTACACTTGAATCAGGCATATTTTTATGAAAAAAGAAATCATTTTAATAAATTGACATTCTTTTCACCTGAAAAGTTCAATCAAGAAATTTTCACTGAGTTTTCTCCAGGGTAATGTCATGACCTAACGTGATTAGAATTTATGAAACAAGATATGCAGGTCTGCATAGTACCTACCTTGACATCGAATCCTACAGAACAGCTGAGCGTGTTAAAAACCTAGAAATCTGGACAGCCAGCCCCAGAAGCTCTGGTCATCTCCTTGTGCAGAGATAGCACCCCACTTACTTACCTGTCAACAGCTATAGCCAGGAGAGCGTTGGTAGAAACATAGAGGGAGACAGTGCGTAGGTAGTTGACTGAGGCACAGAGGACATGGCCATGCTCCCAGGACAGCTGCCGCACCACGTAGTAGTCCATCTCGAAGGGGCAGCACACGATGGCCACAATGAAGTCTGAGATGGCCAGGTTGGCAATCAGCAGGTTGGTGAGGTTTCGCAGCTTCTTGTAGCGGGCGAGAGCAGCAATGAAGATGAAGTTACCAATGCCACAGACCAGCATGATGCCAACCAGAGCCACCCCAATCACAATCTTGGCTGCAAAGAAGGTGCGGGTTTTGGTCATGTCGTCTTCACTGTCCAGTGGCAAGTCATAATCACTGTAACTGAAATTGAAAGGGAAGGAGAAGTTTCGCAAGGAGGTTAAATCCCCATCGTGGAGATTGTAGATTGCAGCAAAGTTGAAGTTGATGGTAGCATTTGGGTTATGTTCAGCTTGCTCCATGGCCATGTCTGTCTTCTTTTGTCACATGTGGCTTGGCTGGCCCTTGGTTTCGTGCTAGAATTACCCAGGATGGCAGGGCACGACAGTGGCAGGCGAG